GTTGTATTTTCTCCCACCAAGGATACCTACAAACACAACTAGCACACACCAAACTCGGTCCTTTAATACAATGTCAATGGTGAAACTTTATATTTTATGGACAACAGATAATGCTTTTTATGACGCGAGAAATTTGAAAAATATTATCTTTTATTGGCAATACAAATGACTCACGCCAAGAATATAAACTGTCACGCCGAGGCCCGAGAGCATTTCATTTTGTTAGCCAAAACTGACCAAACTGCATGGAAACAGTCAATCAGTGATATCATGTCAATTAAAGGTAATATGGTCTGCATGTAGACATTAATCTACTGGGGAAACCAGAAATGGTCTTCGGCGTAACGAGCGAATGCTTTAACCGCTAGGCAACCCGACTGCCCAATCTACTTCGGAAACGAAGACCATATTTTATCACACCTTAGTATATTAAATATTCTTTGTATAGCACATTTTCAATGTATATTCCAAATAAGCATATAATAAGAACAAGAGTACAGCGTGAATCCTATTATCAGGTCAATCCAGTAATCTCCACTACAGATTTTCTTTAATCTGTTAATCAATCAACTTCAGTGTCTGATTGGGCCTTTTGTAGCATTGGTCTTATATCTCCTCGTTTGAGGTGAGGTGAGGTGAAATTGGGTTTAACGTCGCGTCCAAGATTATTGCACTTATATAGCGACGTGCATGTACGTGTATGTGTTTGTGTGGCTGCTTGTACTAGTCCGGACTGATGCCGATTTATAGTGCTAGCACACTGAGATACCATGCCGCAGTTTTAACATGTTACCCCACTCAGACACACTATACTGACTCCGAGCCGACCAGTCCTTGTTTTAGCCCCTTAATGCCGAGCGCCAGACAGGGTAACAACAAGTACCATCTTTTAACGACTTTTGGTATGACGCGGCCGGGGATCGAACCCCGGACCTTCCGCTCTCCGGGCGGACGCTCTACCACAGGACCACGGAGGCGGTCTCCTCGTTTGAAGGCTAGCATATATGTACTCACACGCAAAAGAAACGCAAGTGGTTTTAAGCAAATAGGTAACAAACACGGAACCATAAATTGATACGAGTTTTAGCATGTAGTGAAACCTGATGGTGTTATCAATATTTTGGGTTGCATTGAGGAAGCCCCGCGTAAAAACGCAACATAAAAAACGAATCGCCAAAACGCACCATTTCAATGAATATGTGGGTATCATGCACCCATTTCTCGCGAAATCGAAAATGCACGAACTGTAGTGGGTATAAAACTGTGGCCGATTCTTCGACCTACCACTCCTTGGTCAACAATGCCACGCCTAAATCACATTCGGAGAAACCAGGCTATCGGACGTTTGGAAGTTGGAGAGTCTGTCCAAGATCTCCTGCATCGATACAATGCTACACAGACCACAGATGACCTTCCTCGGAGCGGTCGTCCTAGGGTCACTAAACCTCGACAAGATCGGCAGATTATCCGTCAACACCAACGTTCCTAACTGCAAGTGAAAGTGCTCGACAGACCATAGGAACACATAATCGACAAAATACCCGTCTCCGTTCCAACAACCTCAGATGTCGCTGACCAGCACGTCGTCCTGTGCTCCAACCACGATATCGACAAGCACGACTTCAGTGAGCACAGGGTCATCACAATTGGCGTCATCGTGAGTGGAGGCGTGTCATCTTCTCTTCTCTGCGTGTCTCCCATGCAGAATTTGGCGGCGTCGAGGTGATCGTTTCGCTGACAGAAACGTTGTGGAAAAGGATCCATGGGGTGGACCTAGCGTCATGGTAAGGGCAGGGATTGGACTTAATGCGAGACTTGGACCCATGTGCTTTCTGAATGTTGGTCAAGGTGGGGGACACGGCGTCACTGCTCAGCGGTATATCGACCAAGTGATCAGACCCCACGTTGTTCCATTTTTTGCACAACATCAACAACACACTTTCCAGCAGAACAACGCTCGTCCCCATGTTGCCAGAGCTACCATGGCCTTTCTGCAACAACACAACATCCATGTTCTACCATGGCCAGCCCTCAGCCCTGATCTGAACCCCATCGAACACTTGTGGGATGAGGTTCAAAGGCATCTGAACCATTTTCGCCAGTCCCTACAACTGCCGATGAACTACGCACAGCTGCTCTGGATGTGTGCAGGAGGATCCCCAGGGCCTTCACAAATCGTCTGATCCACTCAATGTACAGGAGATGTGTGGCAGTGATCAATGCTAATGGTGGTCACACCAGGTATTGACTGACATTTTGGGTATTGACCCGAAACTGTGTAAGCCCTTAACATTTGAAAAAAACCCAATTATGTCATCTGCCTTTTAATCCATTAAACTGTCTTCAGTCAATTTTTTTTGTCAATCTTGCCCTATAAGTATTTCTTGTCTTTACTGTTGAAAAGAAATAACATGTATACTGCATACTCGACTTGCGTTTCTTTTGCGTGTGAGTATATATATATATATATATATATATACCTCTACGAGGGCATATGATAGCAGTTTTGTTACTGGGTTAATTTAGAATAGGATGTTTCTCTTTTTCTTAATAAGCTAATTTAATTTCGTCCCCAGATTATATTGTATATTGGTATCATCCGAAAGGAAGATGATGCTACCAAGAAACGGTATGCGTGTGGGTTTGTTGTTGAATGCCGCACTCCAGGCTGTATGAAAATAATCGCTGACAAAACTCGAGTGTGATCAATGATCCACTACGTCGGGGTAGAATGACGGGCGGGCAATCCACCAAGTAACTGAACCTGACCAGCCAATCCATTAAGTTGCCTCTTACGACCAGCATAGGTTGACAGGGACGTTTGCTTAGCCGAAATCTCCATGGGGACAAGGAACGGATAACAGTAGTTTTTAAACGACACGTATCAAGTAGTTTTTAATGAACATGATATCGGACAGCGATCAATCACACATGAAATTAATTAGCAACATTAACAGTGAGTTGGTGCACCAACACTCGGAGAGTGTGTCTGTTATATGACGTATCGGTGTGTGTTTGTTTGATCAAATAATCAGACAACAGGTTATACCGGGGTCAAATCGATGTCAAGAAAGGTTAACATATTTCGGCTCTATTTCGACCAAGTAAATACTATACTGAACCAAAAACCTTCCAAACATTATTATTAGTATTCGCAATATAAAAATAACCTGTACTGAACTTATGCAGAGTCAAGAGTACGTTAGTGAAATGTAAAAGATAATACTTGAAATTATAAACTTTAAGTTTCATAACAAAATTGTATATGGTAGAATCAATAAAAGGAGACCATCTTGAATTCAAGATGTCCGAATCGACGAAATGATAAATAATGAAAATGGTTTTGTATTTATCAAAGTAGGCTTTTTTAGAAATAAAATACAGACTAGAATGAAGATAAAAACATATTTTAACATGTACTATGTAACCATGACCAATGCATTCATGCTGACATTTGTGTGAAAAGACAACAGACCCCACCCCGAAAATCTAGCAAATACAATACATTTCCCTGACCTTGATTTTCTTTGAATCTTTTATGGTGACCAACAAAACCCTTCTTGTGAGTATAAACCAAATTTTTGTTTGTTACCAGAAATGTCTGGCTCCAGTGCAATTTCCACCGGACTAATAACAGATATTTATTTTTTGGGTGAAACCCATGGGTAGGAGGTGCTGATGTGGTCATGGATTTCGAACCGAGACCACTGGGCAACCTTGGTCAAAGAGCATAGATTCTCCGTGGACATGCAGGGTTCAAATAGGTCTCTAACAACCGATGCTGGTCGTACGAGGAGACATGATGGATCGGGTGATGAGGTTCGGTGACTTGGTGGATTGTGTGCCTGTCACCGTACACCGACGGCGTCTGTCGTTGCTCATAATATCAACCATGGGATTTTCTGTTCCACATACAATTATTTACAGGCCGCCAAAATACAACAGAAATATTGATGACCATGGTCTAAAACAATAAAACAAGGAACTGGTTACGTCAAGGAGAACGGTTTGACAAGCATGTGACTGTCGACCAAAATGAAACAGCAACATGTGCAACGCTACATCTCATGAAAAAGAGCGTGAGAGTCGCCTGGCCTGATCACGCTCACCATGAGATGACCATCAGATGACCATCAGATGACCACCCGTGAAGATTCCGGGGAGGAATAGGTCTTCAGCAACCCATACTTGCCGTAAAACGCGACTATGCGTGTCGTAAAAGGCGACTAACGGGATCGGGTGGTCAGGCTCGCTGACTTGGTTGATACATGTCATCGATCCCAATTGCGTGGATCGATGCTCGTGATGTCAATCACTGGATTGTCTGGTCCAGACTCGATTATTTTACAGACCGCCGTCATATAGCTGGAATATTGCTGAGTGCGGCGTTACACAACAAACAAACATTTAGGTGTTGATAACACGCGTACCTTCGAATTGCTTATTTTATACGATCATTATATACGGCAGAGGTCACCGTGGGCGATGCGGTAGAAGTCAATGCATGCTGCAGAGGTCACTGCATGGGGTATCCATGTCTGTGGAGGGTACTTATGCATTAACACTTTCCTTACCTAAATGTCAAACACGACAGTGCCTTCGTGGTAATATTTTCTCCCACAGTTACTAACAACACTGAACATCACCATGCGTGAGTGAGTATGGTTTTACACCGATTTGAGCAATATTGCAGCAATATCACGGCGGGGGACATCAGAAATGGGCTTCACACATTGTACCCATGTCGGGAATCGAACCCGGGTCTTCGGCGTGACGAGCGTACGCTTTAACCACTAGGCTACCCGACCGCCCCTAAATCACCATGAAACACAAGGCGTTGACAATGCTTATGAGCACGTTCTGGCCTTCTGTGAAGGTCGAGGGTGCAGTTCCATAAAGAAATAATTAACGGACGTCGAATGCTGAACAGCATGCCTTAAAAGTAAGTTTAGAAAGGTGATATTCTAATGACGAACGTCACAAGGCTTGCAACGACTCACCTGCAGATACTGAATAACCTTGCACATGACGTTTCCAGCGTACCATGCTATGGTGATCTTGGACAGGAGGTCGGTCATTACACAGATCAGGCCCACCAATAAATCTACAAGAGAGAATCACCATGGTCAAAGTGTAACAGTTGGTTTGTGGTGGTACAAGAAACGTATATTGGTTATGATTTGATAGCTGAAAGAATAACAGGTCGCAAATCACTATTGTCAAGTGCTGTAATAAATGGTTTGCAATTGTAGATATAAATCTCAACGCTAAGAATAATCAGTCTCGATTAGCGGCCGAAACTGCTTCCATTGAGCGTAAAAGGCAAAACAAAAAGGCGGTGGAAACTATATGAATGGATCACTGAAAATCAGTGACGACACCAGGTGTTCGCAAAAAGGGTAACCATTCCCTGCCCTACCGCCACGACGACAGGGGAACCTACGTCTCTCAGAAGCATAGGAATGAAAGGTTCATGCTCCTTAAACTTTTTCTAAAGGACGACGAGATTGTTGCATGTTCTGCCAAAGAACTATTTTGTTTTTCTTTCATAATGTACATGTCCTGCTCCATCGGTAGCAGCACCACTCACAATTAGCATGAAAAAGTTAATGTTTGTTTGTTGGTTGACGCCATGTCATGTTCGTACTTCTGCCGTACGACGGCGACCTGTAAACCATCGAGTCCTGACCAGACAATCCAGTGACACGGTTAGCCCCAGGTGAATCGAATCGGTGAGGTGAGGTGAGGTGAGGTGAGGTGAGGTGAGGTGAGGTGAAATGGGGTTTAACGTCGCGTCCAAGATTATTGCACTTATATAGCGACGTGCATGCACGTGTGTGTGTGTGTGTGTGTGTGTGTGTGTGTGTGTGTGTGTGTGTGTGGCTGCTTGTACTAGTCCGGACTGACGGCGATTTATAGTGCTAGCTCACTGAGATACCATGCTGCAGTTTAACATGAATACCCCACTCAGACACAGTACACTGACTCCGAGCCGACCAGTCCTTGTTTTAGCCCATCTTTTAACGTCGTTTGGTATGACGCGGCTGGGGATCGAACCCGGGCGGACGCTCTACCATTAGACAACGGAGGCGGTCCCAAACGAATCGGACTCAGGATGAAACTATGTTAGCAAATTGGCCCATGGTCTTTATCATAATGGAATAAAATATCGGATGTTCCCTAAAGGAAACGGACATGTGTATCAACTTGACACCAATTCGTTCCTGTCATCTGGACGAGATCTCACAGTATCAATAAGATAAGATATCCCTGTGATCAATCAACACAGCTAGTATCAACTGAAGTGCCTGGGAGATTCCATCTGTTTTCGAGATGATCTAAGCTTCCCGTAGACATACCTGTCATTCACAAGGCACTAGAGAGGCGTAAGGTATCATGTTGCATCAATAGCTTTGACAGTTTCCTGTTCTGTACGAATACATATACTTATTGCTCTGACGAAAATCCGTGCAGATCCTCCTCGTCGTACTAGTTTTTTTAAAGAATATTAATTACACACAATTAAACAGCGACGTGTGCGTGCGTGCGTGCGTGCGTGCGTGCGTGTTTGTGTGTGTGTGTGTACTAAAGAATGCCGGTTTTATAATGTTAGCTCACCGAAATACCATGCCGCAGTTTCATATGAATACCCTACTCAGACACAGTATTCTACGAGCCGACCAGTACTTGTTTATTCCATTAATGCCGACCGCCAGGCAGGGTAACAAAATGTATCTGCTGATACTAGTCAGACCTAACGCTTGCCAGCCCACTCATATACCATGCCGCCGTTTAACATGGATATCCCACTCAGACACAGCAAACTGACTCTGACACGACCAGTCCTAGTTGCATGTCCCCTTAATGCCGAGCGCCAGGTAATTCGCATGGCGCGACAAAGAGACCTTTCGCTCTCCGGGCAGACTCTATCCACTAGACCACGGAGGCGGTTTATAAAAGCGGGAAAAAGCTGAAAACATCATTTATTGATTAGTCACGATTGATGGAATTAATCCCCCTACTGTGTAACTGCTTGTTTTCTGTACATGATGTAAGTGAGTATGGTTTAACGCCGCTTTTTAGCAATATTCCAGCAATATCACGGTTGGGGACACCAGAAATGGGCTTCACACATTGTAACCATACTCACTCACACACTTAAAGGTCAAACCGAAGACAATATATGAACTTATATTCAAAACATAAATAATTGCATTGAACTACTTTTGTTTATTTTGGACAGTTTAATAATGTGCATGTAAACATACTTATGTGATAGATGGTAAGCTTGTGTACACAAATATTTGTGACTGCATTTACAATATGTCCCGAGGTACCTCTTGTTTCGTTGTTCACCGTCGATTCCGGTTTCTTAAGTGTCAGAACGTAAGTATGACTAAACACCCTTTCAGCAGCATCCAAGACATATCATGGCGGGGTTAGCCTATTTATTGTAAGACGAAACGGACGCGCTGAGCCAACAAACCGCCCACCTCCTGCTGAGATACATTTCTAAATAACCATATGCCAGCATAGCTACAAGTGGCAAAGTCGTGTCAAGCCCATATCATTCTATAGCTCTTGCATTTGCGCCAAAATGTCATTGAGGCAGACAGACATGTGTTCTTTAAACATCTGAACATCTTTAGAAACATAAATAAAATTGTTACATGTATATTCGTAAAAATAGTACAACACTCATATAAAATTATGAGAGACGATGAAAGACTTAATGAAATTTACAATGATAATAATTGTCCATATGATAGATGCTTCCTGCGTTGGGACTTTAATTGGCTCGTACAATACGTTACATATCATGTTTTAAAAAAAACACGTAGCTTCCCATTATTTGATAGTTTAAAAAAATCGAAATCGCAGCCGTTAAACAATGTTACTCTCAAGTCGTCGGAATAATGGACAACGAATCACAATCCGTAAGTGGAGCTGTTGTTTATTGATTGCCAAGCAGTATTCAACAAAGTGACCTCTGTGCTCTGTGGTTAAAAAAACTGAAGACGTCATTAAGTATTCATGACGTCCAGAGTCGGATACAGGATTTTTTGTTTAAAAAGGGGATGTGAACATTATACACAAGCCACAAAGGCTAAAGTGACTTGGTCACATGCACGGTAAGGTTCTGAAAAAGGAGAGGTGTACAACCCAACCCTATGGAATACTGTAAGGGACATTCTCGCGATCTCGCATTCTCGCCAAAATCTCGCGTTCTCGCGATCTCGCATTCTCGTGTTTAGGGCATATTTACCTCGTTTCCAAAGGTCGAGATCGCGAGAATGTCCCTTACAGTATTCCATACCACCCCGACCCTTCTGGATCCAGTGACGTCACAGGATATTAATATGGATTATAGATCGTGTCTCCATGTAAGCAACCACGATTTTTCACATTGTCGTGAGACTGTTTTATCTCAGACGGTGGCGTTTTATATTTACTGGATCTGTGGTCGATGTTTCTGCTGGTGAAATGAACCCGGGGTTCACCATAAGCTCAATAGCGTTTATCGATTCTGCTGAGTCAGCTACAAAAGAAATGTTTGGGTTGTGATATTAAAATTGTCCCCTACTGTGTTGCAAAACGAACATATTTCTTACACGTTTTTCTTTACTCGTGTGCAGCAGAATCTCTGCACTCGTACACGGCAGACGTAATTCAAAATTAACATATCGATTTTAGTTTCGACAAAATCATTAATGCGCTACCGTGTCACTGGATTGTCTGTTCCATCAGTTGATTGCCTGGTTTGTCTGAGACGGACAAACCAATGACGTACGATGCCATACAATCCCCAAAGTTACCGAGCCTGACCACCCGATCTTCAGCCGTCTCTTATGACAAGCATAAGTAACTGAGAAAACAATTATACCTGGAAACCAAACGGAGCTGGCACAAGTGAATTAATACTAAATATGATTAAGAATATCAATATAATCATTATTGACAGTTATGCGAAATTAATCAAATTGATTTGAACTGAAACACCAAAAGTTGATTCGATGTACTCCGTTCATTATTGCAGGCATTATTGACTTCACTGGCACCAAAGAGATGCTATTCTTGACAGCTGGTTGGTTGGTTTGTTGTTTAACGTCGAACTCAGCAATATTCCAGCTATATGTCGGCGGTCTGTAAATAATCGAGTCTGGACCAGATAATCCAGTGATTAATATCATGAGTATCGATCCACGTACTTAGGATAGATGACATGCATCAACCAAGTCACCGAGCCTGACCACCCGATCCCGATAGTCACCTTTTACGGCAAGCATGGGTTGCTGAAGACCTATTCCTCCCCGGATCTATACGGGTCTATTCTTGGCAGTACTGATAGCGATATGTCACAAGGTAATTAGTGTATAGGTTCATGAATCTAGAGCCTTCCTCTTAAACTTTCCATTGAGTCCTTGTTTTACTTTCCTATGGATATCAAATAATTCTCCTCGCCATTTGTATCGATCATGAATAAAGCGGGATATTTTCTAGAAAGCATTCCCGTTTTATCATTGTATATTTTTACAAGAAATTTATGAAGTTTTAACCCAGAAGCATGCCGCCTTTAATCTCCCCTAATATCTGTGAAACACATATTTTTTTAAACTTTGAGAAATCTTAAGATATCTAATCTTCAAAGCTTCGAATACTACAAACGCCCACTAACACGTTCAAAGTACACGCCGTTCATTGTCAGTTGTAATCAAGTGAACGTCAAAGTACAAGGTTGTTGATTGGCTGAGGGCTTTGAGGTGTCACAATGTTTGATTGGTTCCTAGAACGCATGACAGGCTAAGATGCGCGCTGATTGTACGTTGACAAGACGCCTGGGGGTTCGAGAGTATTGAAACGGCAAAACTACGGGAATATTTAGAAAAAAAGATTGATGTTGCCAACTGTATTCGCAAAAGCACTTCAAAACCATATCTGTTTTTCAATAAGATCTGGTAACGCTTGTGAAACTATCCTAGACAGTTTTCATTTTCATTTCACTGAATTAAAAACTGTAAAAGTAAAAATTAAAAAGGACCGTTGTTAACCCTTTATCTCTTGATATAAAAACAGTAGGCATACGGTTTATTTGTGGTGAATAAA